TTTTTTTTTCTTTCCAAAAAGACACCTCCACCAGTGTTAGTGCTGCTGATAAGAGCAGACACCACTAACACTTGGGGAGAGGCTCCGTCTATTGGTGGGGAGCATCACCTGCTGGAAATCGGGTCCAACGTCCCATTTTTCAGAGAGAATGTCTGCAAATGTCTGAGAAAAAGTGAGAACAGTGACTGTGGGGCCTGGCAACATTGATTGCCCTGCAACCCAGGGGATTGACTGAGCAGGCCTGTAGAGTGTCCAGTGGTGTAGTCCTTTGTGAGCTTGGAGAACCACCATTGGAAATAGGTGGTATTTCCTTACCACATCATGCACATGCCCCCGCAGGACTGGGTTTCCCTCCCTCCTTCCCCACCCTAATTACCTCTTCCCCCGGTTCACTCCAGCTCCTTCAGGGACTTAACAATTTCCTTATCACATCACGCACATGCCCCCGCAGAACTACAGCTCCCCCTTCTCTACGCTGGTTACCCTTCCCTCCAGGTCACTCCAGCTCCCTCTGGGACAAGCACATGCCCCCGCAGAACTAGAGATCCCCCTCCCCCTACTGCCATGACTGATCTGACCCCAAAATCAGCCCGGCTTCCTCTCCAGGGTAATACGCCGCACAAAACAAAACTCCCAAATCCCTTTTTTTATTATTTTTATTTTATTTTATTTTAGAGGCTGCTCCATCTATTGGGGAGCGACACGTGCTGGAAACCGAGTCCAGCGTCCCATTTAAAATGACATGACTCACTGGGATTGTTATCTGTTGTTTCTGTGGCTGCGGCCCTATCTGTTAACTACCCAGGGCTCTAAATGTCCCATGGAGCTGCCAGTTACGCCCAACCCATCTAAGAGCCCTTTTTATGACTGACCCCAGCCCTGTTCGGCAGCCCCCCTGTTGAGTGACTCCCTGTCCGGCCCTTCGCTCCCTTTGAGCCCTAAACCCTCGTTAAACCCTTATGTGGCCTTGAGCGCATGAAGATCTACCCTCGGTGGAGCATGTTACAGCGTGTTACAGAGCAATGTCGAGCAGCGCAGCTGATTCTGCAGGGAGAGATTATGGCCTGGCAGCTACCTGACCAAGAGTGTGCTCGACTGCAAAGCAGATTAGATCATTCTAAGATGCTGGGTGCATTGCTGCAGACTGTATAGGGAGGGACCAAGCCCGAACAACTGCCTGACCGAGTGTGTGCTCAGCTACTAAGCAGATTTGAGCGTTGTGAGGTTCGTGGTTGACTGTGCTGCCTTTTCTTGCTTTGTCCTTGACCCATAATCTGCGACCTTACCTACTTCCTTTCTGACCCCAGAGCTACATTTATTTGTCCCATCTACCCCGATCCATCCCTCGGACATGTAGTTCTGAGTTGTATGGTCAGCAAGGGTCCCCCAGCCCCTGTACTGGGGGGGGCCGTGCTCACCACAATTACTGCACGGGTCCAGGCACAGGGCAGCCGAAGAGTCGTTGATGAGATATTGAGAAGCCATTGTAGCATTGTTGGTGTTGTCTATTGTCGCTGAAGGATGCTGATGTACTTGTGAAGTGAGCTGGCTGG